TCTTATATTTTTCATTCTTTTTCTTATATTATTTCTTATATTTTTCATGTCTATTTTGGGTCTTGCAAACACTTGTGCCCCTTTCATGTTTTATAAAAGCATTTTCAGAAATCAGAATTTATTATGACACAGAATATAACTTTAACCCAATGTACTGTTGTGGTTTTGATTGATCCAGTTCTGTAGCTGTGTAGTGTAAATATAGGTTCACTCTGAAAGGACAGTTTGGATAAAAGCAGCAGAAGTGACAACTATAGATGGAGATGACTGCATTTTGTCAATAAAGCCAATTACAAAATAATCTGTAGAGAATACGTCTTGCTGTGAGAAACTACAGAATTAAGCACTGCCTTATGCATTTAACTAGTCAAGGTAAGCTATTTTATTTATTTTTGCTCGAGTAAATAACCATAAAAGTTCTCTTTAGCATATTAAAGCTATTTTAGAGTAAATTTCAATTTAGTTTCAGCTTTTTAATTTTCAGTTTAATTTCAGTTTTGTTTTGTGCTTTGGTTTGTTGGGGTTTTTTTAGCATTTGTAAGAGTGCTAAATTTTCTTCAAAGCATTTCATGAACAAGTTTATATTTAAAATAAATAGATTACTCTGTAAGTTACCATAGTTTCAGATGTTGACTGAGAATGTGAAGATTGGCTTTGACTGGATGGAGCCTTCCAAAGATTAAGAGAATCATCAAAATCTGCATGAAAAAAAGAATAAAAATCAAAATTGAACAAGAAAAGTTTTCTTTTTCATTACTACAAGACCAGCAAAGAGAATAACAAGCTTTTTAAAGGATTGTTTCAGTGAAACAGAAAAGCAGCCAACCACAGTTATCCTTCTGAAGATCTCAGAATATAAGTTTTCACACATTGTACTGATGAATTCTTATCCAGCAAATCCCTTGAATAAACAGAAATTAAATAAAATACAATTTTCAGCTGCAACATAAAATAGTCTGGAAAAAGCTACACTTAGCTCAAACTGCAGTTGCATAGCCTTTAGTCATTTGCAATAGTTCAGATTTAGTTTTATTTAAAATGTAATAGTACAAAAGTATTGAAGATACGGGGATCTTACAGCACAAACATAATGAACAGATGTCCTCGTCTTCAAAAAACTTCAAATTCGCATTTTAAGAGAAGCAGTTTCAAGAGAATCCATATTCATAAATATAATAAAGGCAGAATTATTTTGTAAATCTGTTTCAGAATAAAAAGTGCCAAAAATTTTATAGCACAAACCTGTCAATAATAGGTTTTGAGGCTTTCATATATTTAGAAAAGAAAACAACAAAGAATAAAGCACTAGATTACACAGATTCTGAGTGCAAAACCCACAAAAGTAGAAGTCCTATACATATCTTCGATAATTACTAAACTGAGCTAACTAATTTTATTTTTAACATAACTTTGCGGATGAGATTTCTTTTATATTCCTGAAAAATGTGAGGAAAATACATTGGGAAAAAAATTGACAAAAATAGTTTCAGGAAGATAAACCAAAGCAAGATCTTCTATTAAGAGATGACAAAGGACCTATTAAAAACCAGAAACAGGTCATTATAGATAAACAACACAGTTCTGAACATATGAACGAAGGACTTACAAGCCTTTCAAGCACTATAGTTTTAGAGACGGAGCAAACATTGTCCTGTCCTCCCTTTTTTAAATAAACAAAAATTTTGTTTCGTGTTCCTGAAATATCATAGATGATTTTTTCCCCCTTATTTCAAAACTCCTGGAAAAACTTTTTTTTGGCTTTGCTTTTCAATGACCTGATAAAACGTATCTCAACTGCTCACTGAAAAGTTCTACAATCCTGGAGCTTGAGTTGCTCTTAGATATGATATTGCACCAGCTAACAGAACTACCAAGAGGCACAAATAAGAGGACCATGGGAGGAGTGAAATGTGTTGGCTTGAAAAAATTAAAAACTTATAGATAAATAAAGCAGCCACAGAAGAAATTGAGGATTTACATGGCTCGAATTTTGTATACTGCTGAGGTACTTCTCTGATAACTCAGTGAGTTAACCAAGAATATTTCTTTTCCTTGGGTCTGTCATAAAGTCATAACTTGGTAGGGGAAATAGCATTCCTCTTCTGTTCATGCTTCTGTAACATAAGTTTAACAGAAGCAGACCTACAAGAATTGTTTAAATCTGTAGCCTTAGAAGATGGAAATACAGAAACGTAGGCACACAAAAAAAGAAAGAAACCAAAAAGAATGAACTTACTAATGTTCCCTCCCTTGAACAGTTTTTACTAATTTAGCTTTCTGAAGAATTTCCTAGCTTTCTAAACTTAAGATCATAATACATATTTGGACAAGAATGTGGGTTCCCACAATGCATCATAGTAAGACTTAGAAATATTGTTCAGTAAATGATTAGTCAATATAAAAGTTAGATCTGAAATACTCCAAGGGTATACAGGTTAGGAAAAAAAAAAAAATCCGAGTATTAAATTTGATCAGTCTATGAATTAAATTATTTCTGAATGTCTTAGAATGCAGCTAACCTCAGCATATTAAAGTCCACTCCTACTCATGTATCTTTAAAGTTGAACACATCAAGAAACAGAAGTAGGAGTCTTAGAAACAGTCCACACATTTCTTTTTCCACAACTTTCATTGTACTGATGTGTCATAAAAGTCACAACTGTAAAAAGTATTTTACCCCCAATATTTTGCAAGAAAATTTATTGCAGAACCAATTACATCTTTTCCATTTTTAATTTTTTTGAAGTTGTAAATAACAGCTCAGAGCTTTCTCTGAGATATATTAAACTAGTGACTTATCTACTTCTTAAATCCTCAGAGCAATATTTTGACTTAACATATTTAAGTTCACGGTTTATATATTCATTTTGAGTTCCATTTTTAGTAAGAATTATTTGAGGTAAGTTACTTCAAACTAGAAGTTATTTAAGTAGGTTTAAAATACTACAAGATTACATTAACATCACTTACCAGTTATACCACCTTTTTCTATGATGAGGTTGTCTTCCTTGGAAGAATTCAAATCAAACATATAACATCCTAGGTAACAATGTTTCACCATCTGATTCACATGCTCATAGAATTGGCAGTGATACAAAAGGGCCTTAAGTGCAGGTTTTCCTGTCTGAGAGAGGCCAGATTCTTCATCATGTACACAGGGACCCTGAAGACATGAAATTCACAAAGATAATTTTTTTAAAGGAATCTTTTACATAAAATAAACTGTCAAAAAAACCCAAATTAAGCCTAATACTGTGTATGTATGTATACACATAGCTGGTTTACAGGCTGTGCCTAACAGATTCAAAAAATCAAATGTAGATTTTATTAAGGCTGAGCTAAATCATAATACATTACAAAAACTGTAATGATTTAGCAAAATGGAAGTAGTTATTTAGCTCCTGAGAAATTTGTTAACAGCTAAGTAGAAAGCCACGGAAAGCTATAACTGGATGGTTTTAATACAGTGTATGTATCAGGAGACTTTACAATTTTAATTTCTCATTTAATTCTACTTACAGATATCAACTAATGCGAAAGTTTTCTTTAGAAAAAGAGCACATTCATACTAAGATAAGAGTATCCTGAAAAGGTCATCCTGTTCTAAAGTAAACTGCCATTATACTACATCTATCCATCTCAATCTACTACATTAAAAGATTTATTTAGAAAACAAGACATAAAAAGAAAGAAATTCTCTCTGAAGAATGGTTTTCAGTCATTTCTTTTTAAATACTGACTTCAGGGAAAACTTTCCAGAGAAGTGGATTTACACCTGAAAAGAAAGACTTCATAGTCTTTATTTGAAATAAACAGTTTGATTTAACTGCCTTTGTTACAGTATTTCTCCAGTGTTTTCTACGGTAACAGAAGAAAACAAGAAGTTTTATTAAGCTACAACATAACCTGTTTTAGAGTGACCATAAAAATTAGAAGTTTTAATTGGCAAAAGAACCCAGATTGAGAAAAATCCAAACCGATTACTTTCTGCAAGGCAGTTTTAGGAAGCATCTTGCAGTACGTCAAAAAGAAACTAGTTAAAATTACGGAAAGAAAATTTGTCAGTGCTAATTAGAAACTTTCTTTGGCAGTCAGGAGAGAGCAGAGATAGATCAACTGCAAATAAGTAATCTGAAAAACACTATTTGTCCCCAAGAGGCTCTAGATCTCTCCCAACTCCTCTATTGACACTGAATACAAGCTTATGTTCCAAGAAAACAAAACGAAACAAAAACCAGATCAAGTAGAAGCAGTAAAACTATTTTGTGTTACAGGGTAAGTTATAACAAAAGTTTTGGATGGCTACTGCTCATTCTTCTTGGTTTCTATAATACATAAACAGACTATTTTCACTATTTGCCTTTTATGCCAATTAATGGAGAATCAAATATGACAAACAGTTTGAAGAAGAATGTAGTATTTCATGTAAACTGTTTACGATGAATTATAAAACTGTACTCGTACACTGTCAACAACATACTTAGACTGTATTAACTATGACAAATGCATACTTTGGAAATTTTATTAAATTTAGTCAAAATTTTACTACCCTGAACTGTCTTTGCCGGTTGAAAAAGCTATGCCAGACACTTTATTGTACAACAGGGGCCCTGAAAGAGTTACTCATCAATTGCATTCATAAAGTGCTCTGACTTCAGCAATCTTCATACAACACTATGTTGCAGTCCTAGAATACTTTACACTGGTTGACTTTACTCATGGCAAAAATTTTCCTAAGCAGATCAACTAGATAACAGCAACACTATAAACGTTCTCGTGAAGATACTGGCCTACAAACTCTATTAACAGCCTTTCCTTCTCCAGCCCTATTTGCCTAAGGGATAAAATGATATTGTTCTACTTTGGCTATGGTACATTATTCCTACTATTCACCCAGATCCACTTAGAGCTCTCCTTTAAACTTGCCTGCATTAAGGTCAACAGACAAACTGTCTTATTCAGTGCAAGGGAAAAAATGTAACTGAAATATAGAATTTGGTCCTGGTGGTATCTTACAATTTTAACAACTGTTGTTGGTATTTTCAACAGTTTTAATTTACCAGTTACCATAAAGTGTTGTTTGATAATATCTTTCAGCACGAACACTTATTAAGTGATGAGCAATTTCCATTAAATTGCACTTCTTAATAAGAATCACATTGACTCAAAGCTTCTACTAATTGCACTGGAATTCATCCAGAATTTTGCAACTGGATTCAATTTTTGTCACCTCACCGTAGTCGTTGAAATGTTTAAAGACTGAAAAAAGCAATTTTTAATAGAGTTTATATCAACAAGTTACAATGGCTGCCCCTTGTAAATCTCCTGCTATTATGAATTGAAAGAAATACTTTTTATATTGATAAAATATAAGTAATAAGAAAGATTACTGAAACAAGGACCAGATTCTTAAGATTACTTGAACATCTTCCTTTATGATCAGATGTAAAGGAAAGATAAGACATACTATAAAATGCAGCTCTGCAAGAAACAGCATAATTGTTTGGGTGCAGCTGAATCATAGACAACTTATCCTAGTAAAATAGGAGCATTATTTTCAGCACTAACTTGATCTTTTGCAGAAAGGAACAGATAAAACAGGATATGGTTGCATCTGCAAATTTCTTCAAAAAGAACATACCCTGTACCACTGTTATATAGGTACAATCTCATACACTGGAAGGAGCAAGACGGACAGAAAGAACAGGTATCAAGGCAGCAAAAAGTGAAAAATGGGGAACTAAGATCCAAAGATCTTTATGTAAAATGAACCACGTTTGCCAAAGGTAACATGAGATGACTGACTCAAGATCAGAACTGGAAAAGTCTCCAGGGGATCTTATCAGTTTGTATAAATATCTGACGAGAGAAAGGAAAGGGAAACGGACTCTTCTCATTGGTATCCAGTGACAGGACAAGAGGCAATGAGCAAAAGTTTCAATCCAGGAAATTCTATTTAAACTTAAGAAAGAACTTTTTCCCTGTGAGGGCAGTCAAACATTAGAACAAGTTGCCCAGAGAGGTTGTGGAGTCTCCATCCTTGGAGATACTCAAAACCCAACTGGACACAGTCCTGAGCAACCTGCTCTAGTTCACCCTGCTTTGAGCAAGGGGATATGTTTTTAAGAAACATTTAAATTGACTTAAGCAACAAGCTGCTTCATCTTTCTTTGGAAAAAGTTGTTTCCCATTACTTACGTATTTATTTAAAAACATTTTATAAACGTCACATTCTCAGAATTTCTTCTTCCTCATACACCTCAAATCATATTGTATTCCAAGTGTGGGTAAAATAAATGACCAATTTCTATCCTAAAATGTTAATGATACTGATGTTAATGATACTAATGTAAGCAAGCAAGTTTCCTAGGAGCCCAAAGATACTATACTCATTAAATGCAAAATATATACAAACTAACTTTGTTTTTTTTCTTGAGCTTGCTGGAACTTTGAAAGAAATTTGTCTATTCATATATTTCTCTTTCCAAAATGCCACCTTAGACATGTAATTTTTTAAGGTTATATTTTATAGGTATACTGACATAAGTTTTTATATCAAATAATGTCTCTCTGTGACACTATGATCTTTCTCATCAAATGTAATAGTCACTCACTTGCCAAATACAATCTTTCACCTCTTCCGTAGGAATTGGAATCACAAGGAGATTTTGTAGAATAAAAGCAGCCTGAAAGAAATGAAAGCATCAATATTGTCATCTAGCCATCACAGTTCAAAAAAAACACATCAGATTGAACAGCACAGTCTACATATTATTCCATTGCTTTAGACATATGTCAAAACACAAAGAATTTTCATGTTCACATTGGAAAAAAAAAAAATTAGAATGATATAACCTACACCCCCTCAAACTTCACCTACGACAGACATCATTAGGGCGTGGCACAAGAGGAGGCTGGGAAGAAAAAAGACAAGGAAGAGATAGAATAGAAATCACTAGGAAACAAATTTATTTTTTTTTATAAAATACTTTCATCACTGTTCCAATACAGTCAATCCTGTTGAAGGAGCATTACATAACAAGAAGCGCTGGAAAAAAAACGTAAGCAGAAAAACCTGGATAACTGTTTATGACGTTTCACTCTATTCTCCTCATGTATTTTTTTTTAATTCTTATAAAATAATTGGGACAATATGGGGGACACATTGGGACACACAGACACATATGTTGCAAATATTTTCCTTTCTAAACACGTGGCATGTGTGTTTTTCTAATTTATATTACAAACATTCCACATGTATATGTGGGTGGATTGAAACTGCTTTTTTCATATTTTGTCAATCTTTTGTCATTAATTTGACTCTTACGAGACTACTAAAGTGATTTTGAAGTTAAATAAAACAGTGAAGCATGAATTTTCAAAAGCATTTTGCACAAATAAATTCAAAATATTACTTCGGAATATGCAATTAGTTGAGCAACAGAGCTGGGAAGAAACTAACCCACTATTTGTCACAGTTGTTATTTCTTAGTCATTGGAAAACAAAAAAAGCCCTTAAAACTACAGTTGATAGAAAGGTGCAAAAAACATGTACGCAGTTTAAATATAGTATTATATAGCTCTATGTGCTGTTCTACCAGAGTACAAACTTTCAGTTCTCACGAATAAACCTTAGTGCCTAGGCAAATTAGATTACCTCACGTCTGCAATGAAGATATATTTACTACCGATCAGGTCGCGTGTTTATGCCAAAGTGTTCATAAATGGAAGCAAACAGCCATTAAAATCTGGGCTAATTTGTTATGCTTTAGCAACCTATTTGTCTGCCTGAGTAAGCCTTAGGAGTTTTTATGCATTCACTTGTATTGTTTAGATCATTTCTGCTTTTAAATTAGTCATCTGTAATTGTTGCTTCTTGAGTAATTCTAAATAAGCAGCTAAACATTTATTTAATTAGGCAGTATTTAACTTACAAAGCAGTAGGTGTTGTGGAGCATCAGAAAATAGATATATAGAATTAAAAAAAAAAAAAATCATCTTTTCTCCTTAATGAAAAAAAAACTTGACAATCTAAGACAGCAGAAGGACACAAGAAACATACCTCCCTGCGTACCATGCTACATTCAGATTGGTCCAGAAGGATGTTTATCACTGTTCCCCACAGCCCTCCTGAAATGTTCTGGCAACTTTCTGCTAAAGCAATACATCCTATTTCAAGAGACGTAAGAGCAGATCCTATTCCAAGTGCTGTAAATCTGACCTAGTGCATATAAGCACAACACAAAGTTATATTTCTTACAGTAATTAGCAACATATTTTTTAAATTATTAAGTTGTATCAACTGAATCTGGAGCTTAAGGGAATAATTTAAAAGGTAACAACCTCTTTTCCTATATTTCTCTGGCCCTACACTCATAATCACAACTATGTGTACGTAAAAATGACAGAATTAATAAAATAGATTTTTGAATACTTAAAAATACTAAGATGGCTTTCAATATTCTTCACATTTTACCATTTAAAAATAGTTCCATTTAGCAAACTCATATGATTACAAGATTTGCATCAAATATATTTGCTCTAAATCTGTAGTTCATGTAAATGTTTCTGCTTTGCAGCTAAGTAACAGAAAAGTCAATGAAAACTGCCTATGAATCATGATTATGAGTGACTAATGAAAGCATAGAAGACAGATGATGTAGGGAAGGATTTCTCCAAAGATGTTTATATGGAAACATTCTCCCTACTTTATTGTTACTGTTATTTAGGATATAGTCAGTAACATTTTAAATAACACAAAACAGTAGTTTCAATATTAAATAAATTAATGAAACAAAAATTTTGCAAATACTTAAGGGTCAAAATAAGATATCAACTTAACATTGCATTAACTAACCTCAGGGTCTCGATCTACCCATAAAGGAACCAGCCACGCCAGACCTAGCTGAGAAAGAACTTGTTCTTCACTGTTACCATAAGGCAAAGACCAAAGAGATATCCAGTCCTGATTAGAAAACAGAAAATAAATTAAGAAATTATTTTATATATCTTTCAATGCCAGATCAGCCTACCAACAGCCTGAGCTACCAATTACATACTAAAACACTTTAAATGCACACAACAGTAATATTCCAGGAAAAAGATTTTGATTCTGCCTCTATAAACATGTTTTCAACCTGCTGACTTCACCTAATGAATAAAAGTAAATTTGTGTCATCTTCTTCATAGAATTAGGACAGCAGTGCTAACGAGAGATTAAATATTTTACTTGAAATACTGGGATAATTATTTACATTCAAAATTTAATCCTTATATTTTTTATTTTTGATTATTAATATCTGTCTTTCTCTCTTATATGTGTGCAGAAAACTACCAAATAAGAACATGAAATTATTTCTTTGATCCTAATTCATTCTTTTACTTCATGCACCTGCCATGTGATTAACTAAAGTCATGCAGAGATATCATATTTGACTTTGCAAACTAATTTCTTTAGCTCAGGTTAAAAAAAACCAACCAAACAAAAAACAGCATACCTGCAAAATGCCCTGTTTAACCATGGCACTGCACAAACAATGCATTAAGTTCATAATGAATCACGACACTTAGAATTTTATGTATGTATCTTCTGACCATCTCAGTCCTGTATATTTTTACACAGTAGATGACTGATGTTTCATTTGGAGCAGCGTATTTTGCATGGATTTTCTCAATACACACAATATTAATTACAAAAAGCACAGTATTTTACAATCTTTGAATTTGGGGAGGGAGAGCATTAAAATACGAAATGAAATACAAAGCATAGGTCAGCAAAGCACAACCAGTGAAATGATACCATAACAAACAAACAAAACATTGCAGCAATTCTCATGTATAGACCCTAATTATATGGTCTATTTCTCATGTACTCCTACAAACATCTGTAAGTAACTTCTGTCCATCAGTACGAGATAAAGGATCTTATGTCTGACTTAACAAGGTGGTTCTTTTAATAATAAAGAACAATAAGGGTTCAAAATACTGCTAATGAGCAAAAAAATAATTTCCTTCAGTTTTAATTTCAAGTCATTAGACTGTACATTTTAAGTTAGTATTAATTTTTTTTTTTTAATAGCAGTTATCCAGCGTATACCTCTTGTTTAACACTGCTTGCACAGAGGAAGAAGGCTAATTTTGTGCTTCTCTTCCCCTAAGATTTGACACTAAATCACATGACTGTAAACAACGGCCAGGATTTAAAATTTCTTTGAGAATATAAGTTATTAGTACAGTCTAGAGAGTAACACTGTTGTACACACAGATTATGATTTATAGCCACAAAAAAATGCCACCTATCATATGCTACTATACCTATTATTCTACAAGACTTATATAAAAAAAAAAAAATTAATCAGTTCAAGCCCACTCCGTCATCCACGCATTTATGATCTAATTCTTTGGAGGCTACAGTCTTCCTGCAGTGTACTTAATACGCTGCCTCCCTGTAATTTCAATAAACTTTGTCAGCACTTAATATCTTGAAGAAGTACAGAACTGAAAAAACAGATATCTGGAATTTAGGAAAGCAGGTATATTGCTATTTCTAGTTACACGTGTACTTGATCATATTGAAAGGTTTTCACTTGTGGCTATCACAGATACTAACAAAAGTGGATTTTAATTCTCCAAAATGATTACACTAAATTGTTGAATTTACTTTAACTGCTTCAGGATGAAGACCCTTTCTAAACTCTCAAAAATTTAACTCTCAACATATGCACATGGACACATAGCACAGATATGAATTTTGCTAATAAGTAATGATAGCTCCTTTTACAAGTTAGACAATCATTCTTTCACGTATGTATATGTTCTTTCATGTATACGTATATACACACACATATATATATATATATGAAGACCCTTTCTAAACTCTCAAAAATTTAACTCTCAACATATGCACATGGACACATAGCACAGATATGAATTTTGCTAATAAGTAATGATAGCTCCTTTTACAAGTTAGACAATCATTCTTTCACGTATATATATGTTCTTTCATGTATACGTATATACACACACATATATATATATATAGTAGTATCATAGAATAGTTTGGGTTGGAAGGGACCTCTAAAGGTCATCTAGTCCAACACCCTTGCCGTGGGCAGGGACATCTTCAATTACATCAGGTTGCTCAGAGCCCCGTCCAACCTGTCAATGGTTCGAGATCAATGGCAGGGAACCGGT